TCTCATCATCTTTGTTGGATCAGGACTACATGTGGATTTCAATTATGGCTGGGTAAATTATTCTTCATTTCTTACCAGATCAGAGGGAGTTCAAATTCATCCAGACTAGCAGATGTTTTGTGTTGGTATAGTGGCTATTCATGAGCACATATAATAGGTATCAGAGGAGTTGTTACCAAAATGATTCTAATAAAATTACAAACTGCCAGCTTTTTACTATTTAGCTCCTATGCTCCTAGATATATTCCTATTTGCTTTAGTTTTCCAGAATGAAATGAGAAAAACTGATAACAAAGAGATAACAATTAATCAACATGACACCATGTTAACTGAGGATACTAAAGCATTAAAAAAATCAAACTGATGATTTATCAATATGCAAATTGTCTGATTGGCAATAATTGCTGAAGATACAGTATATTGTTTTTTGCAATTGCAGAAGAATCTTGGAAAGGGAATGGATTACTTGGAACTAGGAAGCTGAAAAATCCATTTAAAAGACAATTATTTGAGTAATGGATAAAGTAGTGAATACTAAATACCAGTAGATGTAGAGGAAAGAAGCCAAGAGTGGGAGGGAGCCAGGCAGTAGGACAGACAGTGGAGTGGCGGTCTCTAGGGCTAGTGGAGGGAGGGAGGGATAATAACCTTCTTCTGGCAGCCATGGTAGCCAAGATCCTGGTAAAGTAACAAAGTAACTCTGACCTCAGATGATTCTCACTGGAGTCCTGTCCACAATAGATCCTAGCTCATTACATTCCTAATAAGCCTATCAGACAACAACCTATGTAGTGTCTGTGGATAAAGCTAGAAGACATATGGAGATTTTCAAAGGCCAATTTTCAAAGAGCTTAGGGTAAGCATGCAATTAGGGACTCAGATATGCAAAGGTATACGGGGAGGGGGAAAAACTGTTTGAAAAAGTGCAATGGGAGAACCTTATACATCTAGAGATAACTACATTTTCCCATGCATTGGGTCCCCAATTCCTTAAAATAAACACACATGTTCATTACATTTAAGAATAAGATTTGTGTCCTGTGCTGAAAATCATTTGCACTCTTTCACAGATAGTCATGCTCTAGATTTGCTCACTTAAAATTATTCTCTTGTTTGGGCATTATATGGTAATGTCAACCAATTGAAATTGTGACTGAGTATTTTGAAGGTGTAGCTGCATGTTTTGTGCAAATATTTCAGGAGCATCTTTTGAAAATTTTCGCCTATAGGGGACTTTTACCTGTCCAGCTAAAACTCTTTCTGCCTGACTTGAAAGAGAGGTGTACTTTAATACCAGAGAAAGAACCAGTTGGAAGAAGATTTTTGACCTGACAGTTCTGCAGGTTGATAGGCAGAGGCAGAACTGACCATCACGAATCACAACATGTAGCCATACCCATAATGATGTTTTGAGTGGTAGCATTTTAGCAATAACATTTTGTTCTCTTTTTATATTACTGTTCTGCCAAATGCACCCCCCCCACCCCCCACAAAATGTTTGGAGAAATTTCTTGTGGAAACATTGGTCTTGCTACTGTGTCCGAGTGATAACATTTGTGTTAGGGAGTTATCAATGCTGCAGGTAACATGGCAGGAATCATAAAGATAGTTGCTTCACTAGACTGAGATTTTGCACATGTTCTGGACTTGTATTTGTCTTCATAGTTTTCCATGAGAGGGTGACTTACATGGATTCTGGCAGGGAATGGTTTTACTCCTCTGAAACAGCCAACCACTCTCCACTCTACTAAAAGATGTAGGATCCAACAGATTTGCCCCTCAACAACGCTGTGAGCCTTGTCATCAACAGACAAATTATTCGCTATGAAACAAAGTATATTTACTTACAAAAATGTTGTTAAACTGAAATTAAGATTGTATAACCCACACACCTCCTGGGTGTGGTGTTCTGTCCCATCTAGTGGCTGAGGGGTGGAGGAGAGAGAGAGAGACAGAGACACACTGACTCAGCTATCAGGGGGTAGCCGTATTAGTCTGTATCCACAAAAACAACAAGGAGTCCAGTGGCACCTGAGGGTATGTCTACACTACGGAATAAGGTCGAATTTATAGAAGTCGTTTTTTTAGAAATCGGTTTTATATATTCGAGTGTGTGTGTCCCCACAGAAAATGCTCTAAGTGCATTAAGTGCATTAACTCGGCGGAGTGCTTCCACAGTACCGAGGCTAGAGTCGACTTCCGGAGCGTTGCACTGTGGATAGCTATCCCACAGTTCCCGCAGTCTCCGCTGCCCATTGGAATTCTGGGTTGAGATCCCAATGCCTGATGGGGCTAAAACATTGTCGTGGGTGGTTCTGGGTATGTATCGTCAGGCCCCCGTTCCCTCCCTCCCTCCGTGAAAGCAAGGGCAGACAATCATTTCACGCCTTTTTTCCTGAGTTACCTGTGCAGACGCCATACCACGGCAAGCATGGAGCCCGCTCAAGTAACCATCACCCTATGTCTCCTGGGTGCTGGCAGACGCGGTACGTCTTTGCTACACAGTAGCAGCAACCCATTGCCTTCTGGCAGCAGACGGTGCAGTATGACTGGTAGTCGTCCTCGTCGTGTCCGAGGTGCTCCTGGCCACGTCGGCTGGGAGCGTCTGGGCAGACATGGGCACAGGGACTAAATTTGGAGTGAGTTGACCAGGTCATTCTCTTTAGTCCTGCAGTCAGTCCTATTGAACCGTCTTATGGTGAGCAGGCAGGCGATACGGATTGCTAGCAGTCGTACTGTACCATCTTCTGCCAGGCAGGCAAGAGATGAGGATTGCTAGCAGTTGTATTGTACCATCTTCTGCCAGGCAGGCAAGAGATGAGGATGGCTAGCAGTCATACTGTACCATCTTCTGCCGAGCAGCCATGAGATGTGGATGGCATGCAGTCCTTCTGCACCGTCTGCTGCCAGCCAAAGATGTAAAAGATAGATGGAGTGGATCAAAACAAGAAATAGACCAGATTTGTTTTGTACTCATTTGCTTCCCCCCCTCCCCTGTCTAGGGGACTCATTCCTCTAGGTCACACTGCAGTCACTCACAGAGAAGGTGCAGCGAGGTAAATCTAGCCATGTATCAATCAGAGGCCAGGCTAACCTCCTTGTTCCAATAAGAACAATAACTTAGGTGCACCATTTCTTATTGGAACCCTCCATGAAGTCCTGCCTGAAATACTCCTTGACGTAAAGACACCCCCTTTGTTGATTTTAGCTCCCTGAAGCCAACCCTGTAAGCCGTGTCGTCAGTCGCCCCTCCCTCCGTCAGAGCAACGGCAGACAATCATTCTGCGCCTTTTTTCTGTGCGGACGCCATACCAAGGCAAGCATGGAGGCCGCTCAGCTCACTTTGGCAATTAGGAGCACATTAAACACCACACGCATTATCCAGCAGTATATGCAGCACCGGAACCTGGCAAAGCGATACTGGGCGAGGAGGCGACGTCAGCGCGGTCACGTGAGTGATCAGGACATGGACACAGATTTCTCTGAAAGCATGGGCCCTGCCAATGCATGCATCATGGTGCTAATGGGGCAGGTTCATGCTGTGGAACGCCGATTCTGGGCTCGGGAAACAAGCACAGACTGGTGGGACCGCATAGTGTTGCAGGTCTGGGACGATTCCCAGTGGCTGCGAAACTTTCGCATGCGTAAGGGCACTTTCATGGAACTTTGTGACTTCTTTCCCCTGCCCTGAGGCGCATGAATACCAAGATGAGAGCAGCCCTCACAGTTGAGAAGCGAGTGGTGATAGCCCTGTGGAAGCTTGCAACGCCAGACAGCTACCAGTCAGTTAGGAATCAATTTGGAGTGGGCAAATCTACTGTGGGGGCTGCTGTGATGCAAGTAGCCCACACAATCAAAGATCTGCTGATATCAAGGGTAGTGACCCTGAGAAATGTGCAGGTCATAGTGGATGGCTTTGCTGCAATGGGATTAGGTTGGATATTAGGAAAAAAATTTTCACTAGGAGGGTGGTGAAACACTGGAATGCGTTGCCTAGGGAGGTGGTGGAATCTCCTTCCTTAGAAGTTTTTAAGGTCAGGCTTGACAAAGCCCTGGCTGGGATGATTTAATTGGGTATGGGTCCTGCTTTTGAGCAGGGGGTTGGACTAGATGACCTCCTGAGATCCCTTCCAACCCTGATATTCTATGATTCTATGATTCCCTAACTGTGGTGGGGCCATAGACAGAACCCATATCCCTATCTTGGCACCGGAGCACCAAGCCGCCGAGTACATAAACCGCAAGGGGTACTTTTCGATAGTGCTGCAAGCTCTGGTGGATCACAAGGGACGTTTCACCAACATCAACGTGGGATGGCTGGGAAAGGTGCATGACGCTCGCATCTTCAGGAACTCTGGTCTGTTTCAAAAGCTGCAGGAAGGGACTTTATTCCCAGACCAGAAAATAACTGTTGGGGATGTTGAAATGCCTATATGTATCCTTGGGGACCCTTAATGCCATGGCTCATGAAGCCGTACACAGGCAGCCTGGACAGTAGTCAGGAGCTGTTCAACTACAGGCCGAGCAAGTGCAGAATGGTGGTAGAATGTGCATTTGGACGTTTAAAGGCACGCTGGCGCAGTTTACTGACTCGCTTAGACCTCAGCGAAACCAATATTCCCACTGTTATTACTGCTTGCTGTGTGCTCCACAATATCTGTGAGAGTAAGGGGGAGACGTTTATGGCGGGGTGGGAGGTTGAGGCAAATCGCCTGGCTGCTGGTTACGCACAGCCAGACACCAGGGCGGTTAGAAGAGCACAGGAGGGCGTGGTACGCATCAGAGAAGCTTTGAAAACCAGTTTCATGACTGGCCAGGCTACGGTGTGAAAGTTCTGTTTGTTTCTCCTTGATGAAACCCCCCGCCCCTTGGTTCACTCTACTTCCCTGTAAGCTAACCACCCGCCCCTCCTCCCTTCAATCACCGCTTGCAGAGGCAATAAAGTCATTGTTGCTTCACAATCATGCATTCTTTATTCATTCATCACACAAATAGGGGGATGACTACCAAGGTAGTCCAGGAGGGGTGGTGGAGGAGGGAAGGAAAATGCCACACAGCACTTTAAGCACAGTACTTTAAAAGTTTACAACTTTAAAATTTATTGAATGACAGCCTTCTTTTTTTTGGGCAATCCTCTGTGGTGGAGTGGCTGGTTGGCCGGAGGCCCCCCCACCGCGTTGTTGGGCGTCTGGGTGTGGAGGCTATGGAACTTGGGGAGGAGGGCGGTTGGTTACACAGGGGCTGCAGTGGCAGTCTGTGCTCCAGCTGCCTTTGCTGCAGCTCAACCATACACTGGAGCATACTGGTTTGGTCCTCCAGCAGCCTCAGCATTGAATCTTGCCTCCTCTCATCACGCTGCCGCCACATTTGAGCTTCAGACCTCTCTTCAGCCCGCCACTTACTCTCTTCAGCCCGCCACTTACTCTCTTCAGCCCACCACCTCTCCTCCCGGTCATTTTGTGCTTTCCTGCACTCTGACATTATTTGCCTCCACGCATTCGTCTGTGCTCTGTCAGTGTGGGAGGACAGCATGAGCTCGGAGAACATTTCATCGCGAGTGCGTTTTTTTTTTCTTTCTAAGCTTCACTAGCCTCTGGGAAGGAGAAGATCCTGTGATCATTGAAACACATGCAGCTGGTGGAGAAAAAAAAAGGGACAGTGGTATTTAAAAAGACACATTTTATAAAACAGTGGCAACACTCTTTCAGGGTAAACCTTGCTGTTAACATTACATACATAGCACATGAGCTTTCATTACAAGGTCGCATTTTGCCTCCCCCCACCGCGTGGCTACCCCCTCAACCTTCCCCCCTCCCTGTGGCTAACAGCGGGGAAGATTTCTGTTTAGCCACAGGCAAACAGCCCAGCAGGAATGGGCTCCTCTGAGTGTCCCCTGAAGAAAAGCACTCTATTTCAACCAGGTGACCATGAATTATATCTCACTCTCCTGAGGATAACACGGAGAGATAAAGAACGGATGTTGTTTGAATGCCAGCAAACATACACTGCAATGCTTTGTCCTACAATGATTCCCGAGTACGTGTTACTGGCCTGGAGTGGTAAAGTGTCCTACCATGAAGGACACAATAAGGCTGCCCTCCCCAGAAACCTTTTGCAAAGGCTTTAGGAGTACATCTAGGAGAACCGCGAATGCCAGGGCAAAGTAATCCTTTCACATGCTTGCTTTTAAACCATGTATAGTATTTTAAAAGGTACACTCACCAGAGGTCCCTTCTCCGCCTGCTGGGTCCAGGAGGCAGCCTTGGGTGGGTTCGGGGGGTACTGGCTCGAGTTCCAGGGTGAGAAACAGTTCCTGGCTGTCGGGAAAACTGGTTTCTCCGCTTGCTTGCTGTGAGCTATCTACAACCTCATCATCATCATCATCATCTTCTTCGTCCCCAAAACCTGCTTCCATATTGCCTTCATCTCCATTGAAGGAGCCAAACAACACGGCTGGGGTAGTGGTGGCTGAACCCCCTAAAATGGCATGCAGCTCATCATAGAAGCGGCATGTTTGGGGCTCTGACCCGGAGCGGCCGTTCGCCTCTCTGGTTTTCTGGTAGGCTTGCCTCAGCTCCTTAGGTTTCACGCGGCGCTGCTTCAGGTCCCTGTTATGGCCTCTGTCCTTCATGCCCTGGGAGATTTTGACAAAGGTTTTGGCATTTCGAAAACTGGAACGGAGTTCTGATAGCACGGATTCCTCTCCCCAAACAGCGATCAGATCCCATACCTCCCGTTCGGTCCATACTGGAGCTCTTTTGCGATTCTGGGACTCCATCATGGTCACCTCTGCTGATGAGCTCTGCATGGTCACCTGCTGCTTGCCACGCTGGCCAAACAGGAAATGAGATTCAAAAGTTCACGGTTCTTTTCCTGTCTACCTGGCCAGTGCATCTGAGTTGAGAGTGCTGTCCAGAGCGGTCACAATGGAGCACTCTGGGATAGCTCCCGGAGGCCAATACCATCGAATTGTGTCCACAGTACCCCAAATTCGAGCCAGCAAGGTCGATTTAAGCGCTAATCCACTTGTCAGGGGTGGAGTAAGGAAATCGATTTTAAGAGCCCTTTAAGTCGAAATAAAGGGCTTCATTGTGTGGATGGGTGCAGGTTTACATCGATTTAACGCTGCTAAATTCGACCTAAAGTCCTAGTGTAGACCAGGGCTGAAAGACTATGAGATTGATCTGAGCATAAGCTGACTCAGCTAACAGCTATATGGCTTTTAGCTCATGCATTTAGTTCCAGAGGCCCAGGTTTGATCCTGCCTGCCGACAACCAGAGTCTGTCGGTGTTACAATTGCCCTTACAATCTTCTGGAAGGTGGTAGGACTTCAAAACCCCAAACTCAGATATTAGAAAACAAGGCATTTTTCAGTTTACATCTCATTAAGTTAGATACCATGAAAGGAGGAAAAGAGCAAAGTCATAAGTATTTAGTAAATTAAAAAATGTGTTTTCTATCTATTACTGCCTACATTTTATTGCATTTCTCGGGAAAAGATCCACAGCTCTGTATATGGGTTGGAGGAAATGACTAAAGAATATTACTTTCGATAGAAGGACTTGGATCAGAAATACTGCTGTTCCTATAGGTAATGTAACAAACTTAATGCAGAATTTAAACTGAAAACTACCTATGAGGCTTGTTGTGTGGAAACAAGTCTTGCACTGCAACTTAGTTAACAGTCTTTTAATGTTTGTACTGGCCTAAAGACAAGTTAATAACAGTCTTGTATCAGATTACATCCGATGAAGTGAGCTGTAGCTCACGAAAGCTCATGCTCAAATAAATTGGTTAGTCTCTAAGGTGCCACAAGTACCCCTTTTCTTTTTGCGAATATAGACTAATATGGCTGTTGCTCTGAAACCAGTTAAATGATTGACATTCCTTGGCTTTTCAACTAGTAATAAAATATGTGAAACATCCACACCTTGCTAACAGTTTTAGGACTTCAATGGAGTCAGGATTTCACACAATATTTCTGGCTGAATCCAGTATCTTGCTTTCAGAAGTACTAAAGTTGAGTGTTCAATTTTTGCAAAAAATTATGCTGGAGTACACAGTACCTCACCAGAGACTAGATTATTAATTTTAAAGATTATCTACAGCATTTAATTTAAACTCTCCATACCTTCCTGTAAGCATCTGAATAGGCATTGGAGTGACCAGTAGATAGGAAGATTAAAATATTCAAAGGTGACTAGGTATTTGGGTGTCCTTCAGATACCATAAAAGGGCTGATTTTCAGAGCATAGGTGTTTACCACTTTTGGAAAACCAGGCCCCTTTAAGATATCTCAAACTGAGTTCTCTGAAATTGAGGAAGCCAAAGTAACTAGTCAGCTTTTAAGATCTTAGCCTAAATCATTTGTTGGACCTCCATTGCAACTGCTTCTATATATTCTATTTTATTGCTATCAGCAACAAATGACAAAAGATGTGGTATATTTAGTAGCACAACCTATACGTTCTAGTTGGAGGTACCTGGAATCCTGAGCAACAGTTTAGCTGGTGGGTTGTTGGTTTTTTCTGTCCCTCTTTTCCAAGCAGTGAAGTGACTTCCTACTGGTCACAGACCGCCTGCCTTAAGAGATGGTTCAGCATGCACAGGGCCGGATTAACTCTCCTGTGGGCCTGGGGCTATTAGATTTTGTGGGGTCCCTGTATACAAGTCTTTTTCCTAATTTAAAACAAAATTATCACAATTATGACATCGAGCTATTAACGCTATACTACACTTGCTTTTTAATTAACATAAAGCTGTTCTGTGGTTACATTTCAGTTTTAAAACATGCAGAGTAGTTAAGTTAATTCAAAATAGCCTACTTCTTACCTTAGAACAGCTGTTATATTAGTTTCTTTCTGGGAGAGAGTTTGGGTGCAGGAGGGGGCTCCAGACTAGGGCAGAGGGTGGGGGTGCAGGAGGGGATTTTGACCTGGGACAGGGGGTTGGGCTACAGGCAGGGGTGCGAAGTGCAGGCTCCAACGGGGAGGCACTTACCACAGGCAGCGCAGCAGGGCTCAGGTAGGCCGTCTGCATGCCTGCCATAGCCTCATGCTGCTCCCAGAAGCAGCTGGTTGCTGCCACGGCTGCCTGCACCCACAAGCGCTGCACCTGCCGCTCCCATTGGCCGGTTCCTGGCCAATGAGAGCTGCGGGGATGGTGCTGGGGGCAGGGGCAGCGCGCAGAGCTGCCTCTCCCCCACTTCTCCTGCCAGGAGCCGCAGAGACATGCTAGCAGCTGGCCTCTTCCGGGAGCGGTGTGGGGCTGTGGCAGTCAGGCCCTGCTGTGCCACTGGACTTTTAGCAGCCTGAAGATCACAATCAACTGGCAGAGGCTTCAGGATCGACCAGTCGATCACGATCGACGGGTTGGTGACCACTAAATTGTATAGAATTACGGATTTATTTTTGCGTGGGCCCCCTTAGCCCAAGGCCTTGGGCTTCAGCCCCTAAAGCCGTGTGTTAATCTGGCCCTGTGCATGCATCATACCATCCATAAACAAACACTGGAATGTAGAGTTTCTTCAGCTCGGAATATAGCAGCTCAAAAATAAAAGTACAGAGAACTTTAGGAAACTCAGGCAATTTGCCTCTTACCCACATTAGCAGATTCTATATGCCAGAAACCACCTCAGATCACGGGCAGCATAGGCACTGACTTCCACAGTTCCCAGGGGGTGCTCGACCCCCACTCTGCCCCAGGCTCTGCCCCCACTCCATTCCTTCCCTCAAGACCCCACCCCAGCCCGCGCCCCGCCTCTTCCCACCCCTGCTCCACACCAGGGCCTGCCCCCACTCCACCCCTTCCCTCAAGTTCCCACTCCTGCCCCACTTCTTCCCACCCCTGTTCTGCCCCTGTCCCAAACCTGGATTTGTGCTGGAAATGGCCCAACTTGATTATCATACACATTGTAAGGAGAGTGCTCACTTTAGATAAGCTATTACCAGCAGGAGAGTGGGGTGGGGGGAGGTATTTTTTCATGCTTTGTGTGTATAAAAAGATCTTCTACACTTTCCACAGTATGCATCCGATGAAGTGAGCTGTAGCTCACAAAAGCTCATGCTCAAATAAATTGGTTAGTCTCTAAGGTGCCACAAGTACTCCTTTTCTTTTTGCGAATACAGACTAACACGGCTGTTACTCTGAAACTGTTGCTCTAGCTGCTCTGCATGGCTGTAGTACTTGAGGACAGGTATCTCGTTTTTTATTTTATTTACTCTTTCAGATGCCAGTTCTTGGGTAAATGACAATTCCCACACCTCATCATTGTGTATTAATTTCCTCAAGGGCACAGAGGCTTCCATAGGTGTGCATGGAATCTGGAAAAATAGTCGGTCATTCCTATAAATCACTTCACTACCTTTGGTCTGGGCATTGCATGAATGGCTCTCAGTTTCTTGGTGTCCCTCAGAAGTCAACACGGTGTCTGATGTAGGGGACTTCAGTTCTCTGCACCTTCAGTTTGACTGCACTCAGCTTAATATTCCACTCCCGGCACTGGTTTAAAAAGTTGTTGCAGCTTCGTATCATGGCCCTGCATTGCCTCTTCTTTGTCATCTCCTCCTCCTACAAGAAGAATGTCATCAGCTACTTTGGATACCTGGGAGTCCTCCTGGTGCCTGGTTCAGTTTACACTGGAACACCTCTGGTGCTGGGTTGATCTCTATAGGCATTCATACCCAGCAGTTTCTGCTAAACAGTGTGACAAAGGTCATCGGATGGCTGGCTGGCTCATCTAGCTCAATATGCCAGAATCCTTTCTTGACAAACACTTTTGCTGTGGATAGATTGGGTAGGATGTCCTCAATTGTTGGTAACAGTAGTGACTTATTTTCAATGCAGAGCCTCTGTCATAAATATAAAGGGAAGGGTAAACCCCTTTGAAATCCCTCCTGGCCAGGGGAAAGCTCCTCTCACCTGTAAAGGGTTAAGAAGCTAAAGGTAACCTCGCTGGCACCTGACCAAAATGACCAATGAGGAGACAAGATACTTTCAAAAGCTGGGAGGAGGGAGAGGAACAAAGGGTCTGTGTCTGTCTGTATGCTGCTCTTGCCAGAGACAGAACAAGAATGGAGTCTTAGAACTTTTAGTAAGTAATCTAGCTAGGTATGTGTTAGATTATGATTCCTTTAAATGGCTGAGAAAAGCATTGTGCTGAATAGAATAACTATTTCTGTCTGTGCATCTTTTTTGTAACTTAAGGTTTTGCCTAGAGGGGTTCTCTATGTTTTTGAATCTAATTACCCTGTAAGATATCTACCATCCTGATTTTACAGGGGGGATTTCTTTATTTCTATTTACTTCTAATTTTTATTAAAAGTCTTCTTGTAAAAACTGAATGCTTTTTCATTGTTCTCAGATCCAAGGGTTTGGGTCTGTGGTCACCTATGCAAATTGGTGAGGCTTTTTATCCAACATTTCCCAGGAAAGGGGGGGTGCAAGTATTGGGAGGATTGTTCATTGTTCTTAAGATCCAAGGGTCTGGGTCTGTAGTCACATAGGCAAATTGGTGAGGCTTTTTACCAAACCTTGTCCAGGAAGTGGGGTGCAAGGTTTTGGGAAGTATTTTGGGGGGAAAGACGCATCCAAACAGCTCTTCCCCAGTAACCAGTATTAGTTTGGTGGTGGTAGCGGCCATTCCAAGGATAACGGGTGTAATATTTTGTACCTTGGGGAAGTTTTGACCTAAGCTGGTAAAGATAAGCTTAGGGGGTTTTTTCATGCAGGTCCCCACATCTGTACCCTAGAGTTCAGAGTGGGGGAGGAACCTTGACAGCCTCAGTTTACCTGCAGGTTCTCTCACCACTACGAAGCTATTGATCTACTGTGTGCTTGTTCTAACAGGTATAAGGATGCCTCTTCTTTGCAGGCTTACCAGTTTCTTCTTCAGTGGCTCCACCAGGACTAATGGAACTCTGTGTTTCAGAAGTCTCACAGGCTGCATGTGGGAGTCTCTTTCTACCTTCAACTTGCCCTGTAGGTGTCCATCTCTGTGAAAAACATCCTAATATTCTGCTAGAATGGACCGACAGTGACTGTTCTCTGTCCTTTCTCACAATGAAGATATTGCAGTGTACTGCAATCAAATACATGACTTCCACGGCCCTACTGCCCAAAAGTGAGTGGTACTTCTGTATATCACTGAATCATGGCAAACCAACCTAATTTCCTTCTTTGATAGTGTTACTGACCTTGTGGATGGGGGAGGGGAAGCATAGGCTTGATATATCTGGATTTTAATAAGACTTTTGACAGCGTCCCACATGACATTCTCAAAAGCAAACTAGGGAAATGTGGTCTAGATGAAATTATTATGAGGTGGGTGCATAACTGATTGAAATATCATACTCAAAGAGTAGTTATCTATGGTTCATTGTAAGACTGGGAGGACATATCTAGTAGGGTCCCCGAGGGGTCTGTCCAGGGTCCTGCGCCACTCACTATTTTCATTAATAACTTGGCTAATGGAGTGGACAGTATGCTTATAAAATTTTGCAGATGACACCAAGCTTGGAGGGGCCACTAGCACTTCGGAGGACAGGATTACAATTCAAAGTGACTTTGGCAAATGGGAGAATTGTTCTGAAATCAACAAGATGAAATTCAATAAGGACAAGTGCAAACTACTTCACTTGGGAAGGAACAATCAATTGCACAACTACAAAAGAGGGAATAACTGCCTAGGTGGTAGTACTGCTGAAAAGGATCTGGGGGATATAGTGGATCACAAATTGAATATGAATCAACAATGTGACGCAGTTGTGAAAAAGGCTAATATCATTCTGGGGTGTATTAACAGGATTGTCATACGTAAGACGCAGGAGGTAATTGTCCCACACTATTCAGCACTGATAAGGCCTCAGCTGTGTCCAGTTTTGAGCACCACACTTTTGGAAAGATATGGATAAATTGGAGAGAGAAAGAACAATGATAAAAGGTTTAGAAAAAACTGACCCATGAAGAAAGGTTTTTAAAAAATGTGCATTTTTAGTCTTGAGAAAAGAAGACAGAGGTGCGAACCTAATAACAGCCTTCAAATATGTTAAGTGTTGTTATAAAGAGGGAGGTGATCAATTTTTCTCCGTGTCCATTGAAGGGAGGAGAAGAAGTAATTGGATAAAATGTAGCAAGGGAGATTTAGGTTAGATACTAGGAAAACTGTAAGGGTAGTTAAATTCTGGAATAGGCTTCCAAGAGATGTTGTGGAATCCCCATCATTGGAGGATTTTAAGAAGATGTTAGACCAACACCCGTCACGGATGGTCTAGGTATCCTTGGTCCTGCCTCAGCACTGGAGACTGGACTAGATGACCTCTTGAGGCTCCTTCCAGCCTTATATTTCAATTATTGTATAAACTACTATAAACTCCAGGTAATAACATCTTTTATTTTTCAGGTTTCTCATTGACAGCTCCATTTGCCCACTGATCCCAGAATGGTTTTATTGTGTATCACCAGCACTTCATCACATTTCTCCAGACTAATATTGCTGTTTATCAGTATTGCTGGAATTACATTGTAGCTGGCTCCACAATCCAGCTGGAATTGAATTGGTCATTGATTCAATAGCATAGTTGCATAGGTGCTGACTTTTCCTTTTCTCCAGGGTTGCTCCACCCCAAGGTCCCGCCCCCACTCCACCTCTTCCCCCAAGGGCCCGCCTTCGCTCTGCCTCCTCCTTGAGGCCCTTTACTGTGCACTGATCTCTGCTCTCTGCCTCCACAAGTTCCTCCCCAAGCCACCAAACAGCTCCGTCCCTGATCAGCTGATTGAGGGCACAGCCAAGCAGCTGATTGGCAATGCTGCCCAATAGCTGTGGCTGGTGAGTGCTGAGCACCCACTATTTTTTTCTTATGGGTGTTCCAGCCCTGAAGCACTTCTGGAGTCGGTGCCTATGTATAGTTGCATATGCATTCATGCCCAGCAATTGAATGATTGAATTGAATGTACAGTCACTGGCAATTGAATGATTGAATGTACACTCACTTCTTCTGTAGTGAGTGTACATTGAGAATCTTTGGGCCTGCTGAAGTCACCCTGCAGACATCCTCCTCTTCATTGGTAGTCTCTATGTCCTCAATCACTGCATGTACTGCTGCTTTATTTTTCTTCGGGTAACTGTGGCATTAGGACATGAAATGGTTCTGTTTTTCACACATTTTGTACTGTTGCCCACAGGCTGGGCATTTTTCTTTTGGCCTTCCATGCTGCTGGACAATGATGCTTGTATTCTCAATTGATCTTTCTCTGTCCTGGCTCCTGGGTACCTTTAGTTTGACCCCATATAATTGTTCTGCACTAGTGGCTGCTGTTACGATGTTTTCCCTGGACAGTTCAGCTGCCTTTACTGTTTGGAGTCATTTCCCTAGGGTTAGATCTATTTCTCTCAACATTCCCTTGTAAGATGGAAACATGTGTTCCACAAACAATTCTGTCCCTAATTAGGCAACCTTTTATGTTGTCAAAGGTACGCATGATTGCCAGAGTTCTTAGTTCTGTAAGTTAGTTCACAGTTACAAACATCTTAGGAACAGAGGTTGTTCATAACTCTGAAATGTTTGTAACTGAACAAAATGTTATGGTTATTCTTTCAAAAGTTTACAACTGAACATTGACTTAATTCAGCTTTGAAACTTTGCTATGGATAAGAAAAATACTGCCTTTAAGCATCTAAAATTTAAATGAAACAAGCACAGAAAGCTTCCTTACCTTGTCAGATCTACTAAAAAAGTAAAGGAAAAGTTTAAAAAAAGTTTACATTTAACAGAACACTGTATTTGCTTTTTGTGTGTGTCTCTGCTGCTGCCTTATTGTGTGCTTCCGGTTCCAAATGAGGTGTGTGGTTGACCAGTCAGTTCATAACTCTGGTGTTCATAACTTGAGGTTCTACTGAAACTATCTATTCCCTGTTTGTTACTTGGTTTTGGGGTTTTAAAATGGTATTTCTCTACAGTATTATTCTGTCTGGGGTCATGGCACTTAAACACCTTTACCAGCTGTTCCAATGTTTTGGGCAATGATCCTGGGAACAAAGTTTTACTCACATCTCATCCTTTCCCCCCCAGTGAGATAATAAAGATGATTCTACCTTCATTTTTCTCATCCTTTTTCCCCTATGGTCAGCTCTGTATACAGAACCAACTCTTGCTTCTACTGCTTCCATGCTTGTGCAAGGTGTTTTGTCTGGAAATTCAGCTTTCCTGGTAGTCAGAGTCCATCCATGCCGCCTATTGGCTCTGTCTCTAGGTGCTGCTTTATTTTCCTCTTAATCACACTATCTTCCTTGCTGTGGGTCTTATTAGACTGATTGCTGCCACCACATATTTAATGTTGTTGTAGCCGTCTTGGTCCCAAGACATTAGCGAGACAAGGTAGGTGAAATATCTTTTATTGGACCAACTTCTGTTGGTGAGAGAGACACGCTTTTGAAGAATACCTCTGTGTAAACTCAGGTATGGGAAACTAACTCAGAGTGTCACAGCTAAATACAAGGTGGAACAGATTGTTTAGCATAAGCAGTTAATTCATATTTCAACAGACTGTTCAAGGTGAAGGGGCCCATTAATACCCTTCCTATCACAGGGAGGAAAGGAGGGGGAAGTAGCTGGGGAGGGGGGTTTGCTAGTGGGTTATAGATTGTTATAAGCAGCAAGGGCTGGACTTAGGGAAAATGGTGCCCTGGATGAACTTGTATTTTGGTGTCCTTTCTTTGAATTTGCCTGGGATGCAGGGAGTGAGAACCAGCTCCCGGTCCCAGAGCCCAGCTGGACTGCACAGGGAGGAGTTTCTGAGCCCAGGGGCTCCCCCTGCCATACATCACCTGATCACCTAGCAGGAGGAGAGTGGGTGCGTGGCCACCACCCGTGCCTGCAAGAAGGGGGGATCCAAGGGCTGACACTGCTGGTTCAACAGGGATGAGCCCTGCTGCCTGTGCCTCACCACCAGGCTGGCAGCTCTGGATGGCATCACCAGCCTCCTGCCCAGCTAGTCAGGGGCTCCAGACCTGTGCTTGCCTGCGCTCACCCCACTCCAGCAGCCCAGGTCCGCAGCTTGTGGCACTCAGACGGTGCCCCACCCCTCCGACCGCGGTGCCCTAGATGGTCGCCCACATCATGCACCTGTAAGGCCAGCCCTGTAATAAACCAAAAATCCAGTATTAGAGGGGTAGCCGTGTTAGTCTGGATCTGTAAAAGCGGCAAGGAGTCCTGTGGCACCTTATAGGCTAACAGACATATTGGAACATAAGCTTTCGTGGGTGAATACTCACTTTGTTGGATGCATGTAGCAGAAGTTTCCAGAGGCAGGTATAAATATGCAAGCACGAATCAGGCTACGGATAACAAGGTCAGTTCAGTCAGGAAGGATGAGGCCCTCAGGAGAAACTGCTTTTGTAGTTGGCTAGCCATTCACAGTCTTTGTTTAATCTTGAGCTCAATCCATCAGCTGGCTACACTCTGCTTCTCCCTGAGCCCCACCTTACCAGAACCCAGCACCCCCCAACCAGAACCTACATCCCCTCTGCATGCACCCACTGGAGCTTTGCAATCCCTACCTCCTATGGCCAGACTCTCCCCGTCAAAAAAATCCCACTCACCACAGCCTGCATTCCATTGATGGGGAAGTTTTGGGCAGAGAAAGTGGAGACACTAGGGAACTTTGGAGAAGACTGTATGGGGGTCAAAACCTGCTGTTCTCCTATTCCCCCATTCTCTCTCCCTCATACCTGCTAACGCTGATTCCTCAGTATCCCTGCCCAACATTACCCCCACATTTTTAAAAAGAAACGGGAAATGTCACAAAATGCTGTGGAATCTGTCAGTGTTTTTAGGTATTAAAAGGGCTAGGCATTAAAGTATGTGAGCTGAGGTTCTTAGGGTTGCTAATGCTACCTTTACTGGTGGTTTCCTTGGGTTTTAGTGATAGTGCTGTGCAGGAGGCTGAACTTACTACTGGAGTACCCCCTTCTGGCTGGGCCTGGTATAGATGCTCTTACCACTCTAGAACCCCCTATTGATGGTCATTCTGGTCTGCCTCTTCTTGCATCTTGGCCCTCCAGCCTGGTCAAAGTTTAGTCTCACCCCTTCTGGAATAACATTGTAAATCCAGCAAATAATAGTCTCAATGTCCTTATAAAAGGTCTTCAGCACCAACTTTGGGCCCTGTAGTCTTCATGCCTCTTCTCTCAGGGCTTTCAGCTGCCCTTATCCCCTTCTCTGGAGCGTCACACTTTCCCAGAGGCTGGTGGGGGAACCCAGGACCCCCAATTGTGCTGGGTTTCAGTCCAGAGACCCTATAACCAGTTGCTATGATCTGCTCCACCAGACTCCTTGCTGCTGCCTCCATGGACCTCTTACTGACTTCACATCAGGCTCCTGCAAGCAAGTCCCCTTCAGTGTTCCACTGTCCAGGCCCTCTGCCTGTGAATCCTATGCCTGTTGTATTCCTCCAGGGTCTCTCCTTGCTTCTTACGGACTCTACCTCACGGCCTCCCTCTGGAGTCTAATCTGTTCCTTTTAGTTCCCACAGGAACCTCCTGCTCTTTTCAGCCTCCATCACAGCTTCCCTCAAACTTCAGATCAACACCTCCTCGGCCCAGGTTTTTCTCTACCTTTAGCCCAAGAGAGGAAACTCCCAGCAACTCTCACCTGGGTCTCCTCCCCGACGCTCCTTCCCACTACCTGGGTGTCCTTCATTTATGAAGGCCCAGCTCATCCTCACATAGGTTTGATATCCATTTATGCCAACCACACCCAGTGCCTTCTAGTGGCTGAACTGGGCTCAGGCTCCCGATGACCCTGGTTACCTCACCACATGCTGATATGAAATACCCTTGAGTATTATTATTATTTGTATTACCATTGCATATAGGACCCTTAGTCATGGATTTGAACCCCACTGTGCTAGGCATTGTACAAAAGTCAGACCAAGAAGATGATCCCTGCCCCAAAGAGCTTACAATGTAAGTATAAAACAAGAGACAAAAGACAGATACAGACAGACAGATGGGGTAGTACGAGGAACCAATGAAACAATATTGGTCATCATGGTCAACAATGAAACAATAGTGGTCTCAATACACCAGCAGCCTAACTGTTATCAAGTTTTTTTATGGTATCCTGGCAAAGGAAAGTTTTAACAAATGATTTGAAGGAGGACAATGAGGTATCTCTGTGGATATTTATGGGGAGCTCCTCCCAAGCATGAGGGACACACAGTACTTGTTTGAAAATTTAGCATGTGGACGATACAGGCTGGAATCATGGGAGCCGGACATCAACATCTCAATAGTGAATGACAGAAGATACTAGAAGTGGAGATAGGCTGTTAAGGGCCTTGAAAATCAAGACAGGTAGCTTATAATTGATATGACAAAGAAGAGGATGCAATGAGGGATGCAAAGAGAGGGGTGACATAGTCAGACTCTTCAGTGAAAGAGTTTGTGTGGTATTAAATATTCTTACTCTGTTTTTGTCTGGGCTACTATAAAAATATGTATGCGAGTCAAAGATTTCATAGATTTATATTTTTATGGACACATTATGTGTGAGCTCATATGGTTATTAAATTTTGCTTGACTTGGCAATTATTCTTTTTTATTTGTAATAAGAATATTTATCAGTGGTGTGTTTTAAAGTACACACTGTCTTCAGCTTGGATAGACACTATATTAAATATAAATAAATATTGGCTTCACTATTTTACTGTATATTTGAATTTATTTACTCTGTTTTCCCAAGCAACTCTGGTAAAATATTGGGAAGCATAAATATGGTCCCATCTGTGATTTCCACCAGGTATCCTGTTTATAATTGTCCTTTACATATGTACCTTTTGGTGGAGAACTGATTTCTCTAGAACACAAATCACCATCAATGTTCAATTTCTTTTTCACTCTAAATATTTTAGTTCCTTTTAGTTGCCCCTTACTCTCAACTTATCAAGCCAAAACAATAATTCTGAAATGAGGCATTCTGGCACATGTACTTGAATATAATTTCTGAAACTATATTAGGTTCAGTCCTTCTAGTCCTTCTACATGCAATATTTCTCTAGTTTCAGTGGGAGCTATGCACATGAAAAGCATCAGGCCCAAATTAAGAGAAGGCTTTCAGAGATGCATAAGCCACCATTCCTCTTCACAGATTTTTACTCATAATGCTTCTTGAACTTGGATCAATATAAACAAGGTCAGAAAATGTCACCCATTTAAATGCATTATGACTACAATCTTCTGATTTTGTCACTAGTATTAAAATGTTATTGAATGTCCTTTATGCAGTTGGCATGTCCTAGAGGCCAGATTAAGGCAATTCTGGGCCCTAGACACATGACATGCCCCCTCAACTTTGCCCCCACTTGGAGGGACCAGCGTCATACGGTCCTCCCTTCCCAGAGAAGCAGGAACACTGGTATAGAGACCCATTCTGCAGAAGTAATATCAGGGTCCCCCTCCCCTCAGGAGTACATGAGGTCCCCTTGCCCTCCTGAAGAGGCTGGGTGGCAGCAGGTTTATCACCCCCCAAGTATACACCTTACAGCTGAAGTGTATATGTCTGGTTGGTGGGATGGATCCACTGTACTCTTCTGCATCTACAACATTGAGTCCTCTGCTGGAGTGTTGTTGGTAGGGTGGGTCTTTGGGTTAACATCACATTGAGATGCCTTGAGTATCACTCAGAGCTCTTTCAGGAAGTATGCCTGAGCTGGCAAACATCACTGCATCAGTTATACTCAGGTCACATTTCCAAGCTTTCCTTCAAAAGACAAGGTCTAGGAAACTAACTTTTTAAAAATTAAAACTTAGAATTTGTCTATGTGGGGAAACTGACCAGCAGAACTAGACTGGTCAGTTGACCAGTGACTCTACTCTGGAATAAAATTATTTTAATCTGATATAATTATTCTTCAGCAGAGATGGTGACTTTTCCCACAATTTCTGCGGTCAGGATTATGTGTTTACTCACCAACTGTTGAAAAGGAAAGGCACAATCCTGCAAACACTTAGGTCCTGATCCACAAAGGGATGTAAGTGTTGCAACACCTAACTTTTAGGCATCTAGAAAATCAGTGAAACAGTGGGATCCACAAAGGCTCGAAGTGCTCAGACTCCCTATATAATTTAGAATGCAACCCACAAAAGCCAGCACACTAGGTGAGGCGCTGCCTAAACTAGCCAATGGGAGATGCTAAGGAGAGAGGTGTTTCCTAAGCCTGACCACTCTCACAAAGATAGGTGGCTACGCCTAGGAGGCACCTACCTCTGCTAGCAATCCACAGCTGGGAACCCCTCTCCTGGAGTTAAGCAGTTTAGTCATTTCTTTTAAGAATGAGTTAAGCACCTGCTGCATCCCATGCAAAATGATGCCATTTTAGCCTAATGGCTAGAGCATTCATGTGGAAGATTTGGATTCAATTTCCCCCTCAGGCGGAGCATGAGAAAAAATTTCAAAGAGTATTACCCATTTTTCAGTGGAGTGCTTTAACCGCTGAGAGAAGGGATACTCTGTGAGGCTCCCTCACTCTCTCCTGTTGAAATTGTTCCACTGTGTATAAATACTTAAAAAGTCATTGGGCCAGGAAGAGGGGTGAGGGAGGGAGATGGAGAGAGAGAGAGAATGACTCTATAGTCAAGTAGTTAGGGCACCCACCCTGGCAGGTAAGAGTGTGGCAGCAGAGTGCATGCTCGGAAGCAGAAACTTAGGCACTAAGGGAACTTTTACTCTGAAAACTTAGGTGCTGAGTGAGTGAAGGGGCCTACAGAGTTCAGCAGAAGTTATATGGATTATAGTGGAACCTAAAACTGAGCTTTAGGCATCTAAAGCCCAGATTTAGGTGCCTAAATTCCTTTGTGGATCTGGGACATAGTGCCTACTATTGGCTGTAGCAAACAGATGTGTGTCTGCTATAAGCAGTAGCCTTAGTAGTTATTAGGTTATAACCCTGCTATCAGCTGTTGAAGGGACAAACTGAATTCTGAACTTAGGGCTGGGCAGGGAAGTAAAGAAGAAGTTGATTTTCAAATATTTTGTTTTAAATTCCAGATGTACTTAAAAATTATTAAGCCTTTGTCTATATTTGAGTACTAATTTGAAATCTCCGATAGTTTTTTATATCTATATTAAACTTGGTAGTCATCATTAAAAATTCTAGCACACAACTTGCAAACACTTAAGCATGTAAGTAAATTTACTCTCCCAAGTAGTGTCTCTGAAGTCAAGAATACAAATTAATCAGTTTTAAAATTAACACTCTCAGCTCCAAATAAGATACTGAGGTTTTAAAAATGACAAACTTGCCCAAGTGAGAATTTTTTTTTCCAATCAAAATTTCATAAGACACTTTTAGCACAAATTCACAGTGGCCAGCCTGACCATTGCCTGAATATGACAAAAAAGTTATGGTTATTCTTAACTTTTCCTCAACTTCCCTTATTAACAGCCCATTTTACAACCAGCAATATGAGATGTAAGGATATGATGTAACCATGCTTTCTCCCCTCTGTTAAATCACTGAGCCCCACATAATACAAGGTCAGTGATAAACACAAAAAGGGAGGATTTGCACTCTGAGCCACAACAGCACTTTTAGAGTTAGTATTTTTTAAGTGAATAACATGCAGTTTTCTAAATCAACATGCATTCCAAAGTACGTATATACTATAGATTCTGAAGATTGAAAAAATGTCACTGCAGCCATGCTGGTAAGTGCTCTCAAACTTAGTACATATAACAAAACAGTTACTTGTTAAACCATAAAGCTTGATAGAGTTGCAAACCTCTGGGTTTAACATCAACTATAAAACCATTAAAATATATTTAATCATCCCTATGTTTTCCTATACATTGTTACTATCTAATGTGTATATTACTGTCTCCTTTTCACAACAAAGTTTATTTTAAAAAACTATATATAAATAATTGATGGGAAAAAACTGTCAGTCACAAACTGCCAAAAGCAAGGAAATTCAAAGTTAAATTAAAGTCCTTTAACTTACTCCCCTGAACCGATGTATTGCTGCACATACTGTTACATACTATCACGTGTTATTTTTCAGCCTCCTAAGCACAATGGATGAGAAAGGAACATAGTTTCAGCCTTAAATTTGAACTCCTCTGCTTTTGTTAGTATGTGTCACAACCTTAACATTATCTCAACTGTAGACTTTTATCTGTGAATATCTAAGTCCTGTCTGGGGGAAAACTAATTACTGAGCCACTGAGAGCTTCATAATGTCCTGCATTTAAGTCCTGAACATCATACATAATGCATAGGAAGCAGTCTCTGCACTCTGATTACAGAACACTGTCATTAAGTGAGCAAATTAAAGATGTGAATAATTCACTGGCGGAGCTTATTGTCAGTGCTGCATTGTGAAATTAGAATTTCTAATAAGTACTGCAATTTTTAACCCAATTAACACAGAGAACATCTTGAGTCTGATTAGTACAATAAAAAATATTACCTTATTCTTTTGCTGCACAACAGCCAAATTAAATACTGTACCTAATTATGCAGCATTCATTGCGTCTCTGTTAAAATAAAAAACTCACTATCCTTTAATAAGAGTTCTAGTATTTGGGATACAATCGAAAAAGACAGCACATGCATCTGTAGCTCAATTTCTTATTGCAAAGTTGTTGTTTTGTTAAGACTTTGCAGATCAGTTTTAGCACCAGCTGTAAACCATGATGTCACTCCTGAAGTCTGTTTTCGAAACAAATATCCAACAAACAGCACAGAAATAAATGACAAAGTAATCCTTCCAAACGGACCTCGAATATGTTGTACATTAACTTTTTTTCTGGGTTTCTTTAAAGACAGATAAAACACATTTTGCCTCTTACTGGTTTGAAACTGAAAATATATCCAGTTTCAAAACTTTAGGAAACGTGATTACTAAAACAAGATTCTTACCTCGGGTCCCTATTTGGCACAGGAAAGATTACATTATCTCCTTTCATCTTCGAAGGGAGACAGGGAGAGAAGTCCAACTGAACACGCAGCATGTTGATCCTACCCACGCACGGCGCCTGCTGCCATGTTAAATAAAGAAAATGATCATTTAGGCTGCAGCTTTTGTCTCCGAATATTTTCTCACATTGCTTTTGAATGTCAAGGACCCCAGAAACCCGGACACGTCTGGCAGGGGCCAACGCAGGCTACAGCTGCAGCAATGTGATTTCCCCCAATCCTGTTTCATTTCCAGCTTCTTTTCCATCCCCACGCTGGGGAAGTTTAATCACCGAGCACGAGTGAAAAGATGGCATTGCAATGATGAGCTTTCTTCCTCAAGACAATGACTGCAGCAACCACTTTGCATCTTCGGCTAGATATTTGAGTCTGTGCATGCGAGAGAAAGCAAAAAATTAAAAAGTGCCCTGAAAACCAGACAGACACAGTGTATAGAGAGAAAGAAAGAGAGAAAAAACACAGAGAGACTGAGAGAGGGAGAGGGGGCTGTCAGTGCAGATAAATCTGCATATGGAAATCAGGGTTATCCTGGGTACAGTTTTATTTAACCATGATGTACTGTTTTTTTTTTAATTAGTCAGGGATTTAGAGAAGGAAAAAGAGAGATTCTTGCAAATCCAAGAGTAAAAGTAGCTTTTTAGTCACCACAGGTGCTTTCACAGCAATAACCCCACCAGCTGTAGCAGCCACAGCAGAACTTCTTTATAACTTTCCAGTTGGGAACAAAAGTTTCCTGCACTTCTAGTAATTTACATAGAAAAGCCAGGAAGAGTATTTTGTAATTACCAAAAACAAGACAATTCATAATGATACAATAATTATATAAATGAATAATCGGTTACAGACTGCACAATGTCTTAATAAAGCTGTGTCACGCACAGAGCTTAGAGGGTTTTAAAGCTTTCGCAGAGGGCACCATAATGACTGAGTAATCAAGAGTTTTCAAAAAGAAAAGGAGTACTTGTGGCACCTTAGAGACTAACAAACTTATTTGAGCATAAGCTTTCCTGAGCTACAGCTCACTTCATTTCAGTTCATAACAATGGGAGGATCCGACCTGGATGTTGTATTTGTCAGGCACTTTTGCGCATATTGGCTGAGAACTTGTGTTCCTTCCATGCACTGGTGGATTGGCAGAGAGGAGTGGCAGCGGAGAGGGGGGCTGATAGGGATACAGAAGGGACAGGAGAAGGTTAATTTTGGCTGATATGGGAAACTGGTTGGGAACTATTGTGCAGAGAGGACTGATGGGAAAGGTGGATTGGGTGGAAGGATTTGGGCAGTAGCATGAGAAGGGGTAACAGGAGAAGATCTGCGGGTTAGTAGGGATGTATGGCAGGAGGCACTAGTTTGGCTGGGAGAAGAATGAGAATGATAGAGTGATGTACTGAAATGTAAGGGGAAGGGAGGGGAGGGGAGGGAGGAATGGGCATTTGGGAAGAATGGGAAAGGTGTGAGGGAGGGAGAGGGGGATGGCTGGAAGGAAGTTTGGTGAGAAAGCTGTCAGGGATTGTGTGAGCAGGGTTTGACTTTGACCGGCAGGAAAAATGTAGGGAAGAGGAGCTGGCAGGAGGAAAATAGGAAGTAGAAGGGGCATGGGAAATCGCAGGAGTGGAACAGGGAGGCAAGATGGGAGTAGGAAGCAGTTGGCTGACAGAGAATATGGGGGATTGTTGGCAAGAGGCTGGCAGGGAACATGGCTAGAAAGGATGGCGGGGGAGTGGGAAGAGGAGGTTGGCTGGGAGAGGAATTGCTAGCCAAGAATGTTGAGGGATGTCTGGGAGGGAGATGGGTGACTGATAGAGAACGGGAGGAGAGTGGGTGAATGGCAGAGAATATTGGTTCCTGGTGGGGTAGCTATCATGGAAATGTACATAGAATGGATGGCATCTTGACAAAGCCCTGGCTGGGATGATTTAACTGGGAATTGGTCCTGCTTCGAGCAGGGGGTTGGACTAGATGACCTTCTGGGGTCCCTTCCAGCCCTGATATTCTATGATGGTGAGTGAGAATGGGTGGAAGGTGGCTGGTAAGGGATGGGTTTTTGGCAGGTAATGTGCAGGAGAGGAGCTTAGGCGCAATTGGTGGGGGCAACAGTGTGTGTGGTGGTAGTTCAGGGAAGGGTCGGTGGGAAGCAGAATTTAGATGGGTGGCTGTCAGCAAGAAACGGGAGGTTGGCTGGGTGGGAATGAGGAGCTGTCTGGATGGGAGACTGAGGGAATATGGTGGGCAGTTGGCAAGGAATTTGGGGTTGGATAGATGGGAGAGAAATGAGTGGGGTCACAGCAAGGAAACTGTGGCAGGTATTGTGGGAAATAGCTAGGAAGGGTGTGGTTGGATCAGTGAAAGGAAGTGTAGGGTATGTGTGCACATGCTAAGAAGGGGAATATATAGGTGGCTGGTAGAAATGATGGGAGGCTGGCAGGGAGTGGGGTGTGTGACCAGGAAGGGGAAAGGTGGACAGCAAGGAATGTGGGGATTTGAATGGGTAGCTGGCAGGGAATGCATGTGTGCCTAATAGAGAACTTGTAAAAGGTGACTGGAAGAGAGAGATAGGCAGGGAGGGTGACAAGGAAAGGCTGCCATGAGTGTGTGGGATGGGGAGGGCTTAAATTCTCATAGAGTATTTCCCAGAGCCCCCCATGCCCTGACATGCTATAAAATCTTCAGGTAATTTACTGGAGCTCCACTCCAGACAACTCCGGCCAAATGTAAGCCCTGGTCATTCAGGGAGATAGTTGGGTGGCTGGCTGGCATATGGCTGTCAGGAAAGGTGGGAGGTTCCTAGGGGGGGTTGATGATGAGGGCCTGGCCCAGAATGTGTGGTGGGGCTGATATGGAATAAGGAACCTGTGTGTGTGTGTAGCAGGATGGATGAATGAGTGCAGGAAAGGTGAAGGACAGCTGGGAGAAAGTAGCGTAAAATACAGGTTTTGGAGGAAATGTGTGAATGTTGACTGCTAGGTAGATTAGTGGGGGGTGACTGGGACACTGGTTGGTGGGGAGTAGCACAAAGCCCTATGGCAAGAATGACAGGGGCAGAATGCTGAGGGGTGTGCTGGTGGGGAATGGTGCAAAGGCCTGGGGTGGAGCTGGCGGGGAGGGGTGAGGTGCGTGTGTGTGTGTGTGTGTGAAAGGCACAGAGCCCTGGAGTGGGGTGGCTGGGGCCAATGGTGCAGAGCCCTGGGGTGGAAGCAATGCTGGAGAGGTGGCTGGGGGGATGGTGCAGAGCCCTGGAGTAGCAGAGGCAATGCTGGGGCGGGGTCTGGAGGGCAATGCCGTGGGGGAATGGTGCAGAACCCTCAGGAGGGAGCAATGTTGTGGGGATGGCTGGGGTACGGACAGAGCCGCGGGGGGCGGGGCGGAGCCCGGGAGGGGGCAGCCTGCCCGTCCGGAAGGCAGCGCGCGTTGGGCGGGGGTGGTTCGCATGGCTGTTCCCCCCTGCAGGCGGCACACCGGCAACGGCCGGGGGTGCCATTTGCAGATGGCCCCTCCCAGGGGTTTGTCTCTCTCAGTCTGGCGGGCCGCAGGCGGAAGCGGGGGTAGGAGAGCGCGAGCGGCTCTGGAGGCAGAGTGGGCGGAGTCACACAGGGGCCCTGTCCAATGAGCAGGGAGTGTTGCCGGAACGCTTGTTCTCGAGCATGCGCAGTAGCTGGATGGCTGGTGTGCGCGGGACCTTCGGAAAAGTATCGGGGTTCGGAAGAAGAGGCAAAAATTCCGAGACACGTAGGTAGCGCGTGCACCCGGCCCCGGGGTTCGCCCCTTCACCAGCGCGTGCTCCTCCCCGCGCGGCCGCTCCCCTTCTCTCGCCCTGTGCCCGATTGTCCCTTCCCTGCGCGCCAGGTGCCTAGTAGGGACCCTCAGGACATGGCCTGCAGTGACTGCAGCACCCTGGGTTATCCGCAGCCCCTCCCCTCTGCTCACTGCATGGCCTGCACTGACTGTACCACCACGGGTTATCCCCAGCCCCTCCCCTCTGCCCACTGCATGGCCTAAAATCTCAAATCAGCCGTTGATTCAAATGTTCAGCAATACTGCAGAGGGGAAATTCACAGAATTGTATATGGATGGTAACTATGAAGCTCTGTCCCTAATCCATCTCTGGAGTTAAATTAAAATGTGCTGTCTAGAAGTCATTGCCCTTTTTCTGCTTTAGGGATTCCTTCTGTGATCAGGTCCTAGTGTATTTATAATCTGGGTTAGTTCAGGAGTGTGTGAAGTGATCCCTTTAATTTGGGTCAGCCTAGTAAACTGTACTTCTGTGTTTACTGTGATTTGCAAAATTACAATGAATATGCTTAATAATTCATGGGGAAGTTCAAAACCAGGTATCAAACAAAGGTTGAAGATATGCTTAAGCAATAAATATTTGATCATATTGACTTGAGACTAAACAATACTGCAGAGTGAGTTAGAGCATGTAAAAAACATTGCTAAGAAGTGTCAGCAACCAAACTGAAACCATGGCTGAATTTAGAATAGATATAATTATGGTAGATATAACCTGCACTTTCAGGTTACTGTTTAAAACCTTAATTTTCTGGTTGTTTTTTTAAAGTCAGTATTAAGTTTTTTTTTTTTTAGACATATGCCCTTGTTTAGTGAACATTAGTCTTGCTTTTGTTCTCTCCCTTTTCACTTTCAGACTTTTTGGTAAACAGATTTTAAATACAAGCTTTCTTGCAGCCTTAGCTAAATCGGAATTAATCATATGGTAATTTTACTCACATTATCAATATGTGAGTTACATAGTTGCATAATTAATATTGGAGTAGTGATTCAGTCTGCAGATTTATTGTTATTTTGCATGCACTTGAGCTGCAATGCTCTTTTATTGTAGGTCATGGATAACAGGGGAGTCTTTAACTCAATTACTTTTTTTCATTCAGTAGGGAAAATGTAGCTACAAGAAACCCATTTTCAGAAAACTAAGTTTTATTTGGTTTTTAAAATACATTTTCAGGAACAAGTGTAAACAATGGATGATGACTTCACTATTTCCCTCACACCCCCATACCTCACTGAAAGCTTAGAGATGGCTATGGAAGTGGAAAAGGAGAACTCCAGACTCCCTTGTTTTTCCTGTGCTTTAGACAATCGAGATGGAGGGAGAAACTTTTCTGTAGAGTCTCATCTAGCAAGTGGGTCTCTTAAGAGGTATGTTTATATTGAATTTAAAGTATGTTATACTTTTGAATGTTTCAGTTGCTTCTTTCAGCCGCTGCCAGTGTCTTTAAATTTGTTTTCTTCTTCAACCATTTGTGTCCCTCAGACAAGCCTGCCACTCATACCAGGGAAGAAGGGTGGTTTTATGATTAAAATACTCAGGTGTTTGAATTTATGATTAAAATATTCAATTCCTAGCTCTGCCACAGACTTCTTGTGTGACCTTGGGCAAGTCACTTCACCTTTATCTGCCCATCTATTCCCCATTTGTAAAATGAGGACGATAATTCCTTTGTCTGTCT